GAATTAGAGCAAGACTATTTACTAGAGCGTGTAGTGACAGGACAAAGGGGAAGGGCTTCAAATTGCAAGAGAATAGGTTTAGATTAGATATAAGAGAAAATTCTTTACTGTGAGGGTGGTGAGACACAGGAGCAGGTTGTACAGAGAAGCTGTGAACGCCCCATCCCTGAAATGTTCAAGGCCAGGTTGGATGGAGGGAGTTCTGAGCAACCTGGTCCCATGAGGGAAAAGAAAAAAGCCTTTTCTGAGGGAAAACAAAAAAGTCTGGGTGAATTGTTTTGAAGGAAGCTGCTTAAGAGTATGTGGTGGAAACTGCTCCCTACATTTCCTGAGCAAAGAGAAGGGTACTGACATCTGACTCAGGCAAGAATAGTGTTCAGTGGATTGGTTTTGTCTGGTGTGGCCTGACGCAGGTTTTGCCCAAACTGACAAGCAGTGAGATCGGTTTTGAAATTAAGTTCTACCACAGGTGACAGTGGCTGAAAGAAGACAAAACTGAGCAGGAAACGTGTTCCAGGAAGTGAACACTGAGTTTGTTCTGGCCTCAGCACATGCTGGGAAGAGCTATTCATAGCGTAAATTGAGAAACTCCAGCTTGTCATTAAGTGACAATGTTTGTACCTTGTACCACATGTCCAAGTCTCACTTGACCTTACCACCACCCACACAGCTCATTCAGTGTCTGCTGGTGTTTTGGTCTAGTGAACAGTATTTTTAGCACAAACCATCAGATGTGATTATGAGCCATCAGGCACCATATACGGCAGCAACCCTTACCTTAAAAATGTTTTTTTTTAGAAAACAATGCTTGTCTGCTTTTTCCTAGGTAAAAGGATCAGGAGTTTTGCTGCAGTGACCAATAGTAGTTCTTGTATAATACCTTGTGTAAAGAAAACGGAATTACATCTGAGATCTTTGTATATAACATTTTACAGCTCTCATTGAGGCTTCTGAAAACATCTTGTTTACATGTCATCAAGCATGCTTGGTTTTCTGTGAGCTACTAAGTGTTTACTGCCACTGCAAACCTGGCAGAGTGTATCTAACCCTGCATCTCCACCCTGCACTGCAAAACGTGTCCCATACGCTTGTATTCATCAAATGTGGGGCATGATCCAGGCTCACTTCCTCGGAAAGGACAGACCCACAATGTCAGGCAGTTGCACTGCTGCTTTAAGTAGTTAGTTTTGTCGTTTGCTGCATTCCCTACCACTTTTGTTACATTTACTGCCCAGTAAAAAATAAAACCTAAGAAACAAAATTTCTTAGACTGCTGTCATGAGATTCTTGGAAACACTTGTGCCTTTTAGAAAGAGAACATTTCCAGGAAACTGCCCAGCCTGGTGCCAGCAACAACTGCGTGCATCAGTCATCCTGTTCCACTGAAGAAGCAGACTGCCAGCAGTGCTAGAGCAGCCTTTCCACACCTCTGCTTTGATCTAAATGGAGAACTTTTGCAATTGGTTCGATTTCTGTGACCCAGTCAGTCCTTGGTGTTTCTTTTACAGCAGCCAACAAGATGACCAGTTTCCCACTGCAGGAGAAAACCAGCCTCAGCTCCACTAGCCTATTTCCTGATATCTGTTAAGCACCTGACACAGTCACCACAGCACAACATCTTCTCCAGCCTGTTTGGGAAAGAAGGAATGTTCAACCCTTCTAGATATGTGCAAGCACTAGTGTGTGCCCAGCAAAATGCCAGACCCCTCCCAGGACACAGCTGCCAGCTTTCAGATAAATCACTGGGGTTTGTGATGTGCAAAACGGCAAAATAATGTTGAGCAAGACTTTATATCTACAAACAAAAATGTAAATGTTTGCTTTGCTGCTCACGAATTCATAGTAGAAAGGAGCTCATGTGGAAATTTAATTTGTGCAAAATACTGTTTAAAAAATCAATCATGCTTTGAGTTACACAGTGGAAAAGAATCGTTGCTTTGTAAAACAGCATAAGGTTGACAGATTTTCCATCACTACAGAAGACAATTCCCCTAATTTTCCCACTGTTGTCACATTAGTCATTGTTCTCTAAGTCAAGTGAAAGGGGTGTCTCTAAGCATCATGACAACAAAAATGTACCAATTAAATTGAATCTCTGGAGAGATTGAGGGAAGTTCAGAAATTTGCCTGAAATGAAGAGAATAAATTTCTTCTCATCTCACATCTCCTTAAGTCTCTACAGGCTAAAAGAAGAGGAAGGGGCATTTTTGCTCCAGATAACTTTTCAGATGAACTGTTAGAAGCCTTCTCTCTGTCACAACATTAGCTGAAATGAGTAAGTAAAAGTTCCTGACGGACACGACAGGCTTCTGAGTCCACCGATTCCATTTGCTCATATTCTTCTTCCGATTGTTCCATGTGCCCTGTGGCTGGTGCAGACCACACGTCCAGTCCATGTTGCAGGGAGATGTTATGAAGCACGCAGCAGGCCAGAATGATGTGGCTGGACTTCTCTGGAGAATACTGCAGGGTGCCTTTGGAGCCATCGAGGCAGCGGAACCGCGACCGGATGGTTCTGAACGTGCGCTCAATGACGTTGTGAGTGGCGGAATGGGCCATGTTGTAGCGGTACTCTGCAGGCGTCTCGGGGATGTGCAGAGGGGTCATCAACCATGTCCGGAGCAAGAAGGAGCTGTCACCTGTTAGCAGCAGAAAGGAGCAGGACAGGTTACACACCTACAGTTAGCCACAGATTTCAGACTGGTTTTCTGGTACAGCAGATACAGAATAAATTCTTCCTGTGGCTAAAAGAGAAGGTACGGAAGAAGTAACTCTGGTTTATGAATGTGGCAAAGTAAAGGCATTCAGTTTTACACAAGAAAATCCTGAAAGATTTTCCACAGAAGAGTTTTAAGAGAATTAATCTACTGCATAAAACAGGGGGAAACAGTAGGACTAGCACAGTACCTAGAATTAAAAATTGCATAATTTAGCATGGAAAGGTGTAGAATACTGAAAGAAAGCTATTAACAGAATGAATGAGGATTAATACATACAATAATCAGACTGTATAAAACACAGATTAGAAGTTACTGTTCTAAGATTCCAAGATAAGGGTTGTCCAAACCTAATCATAAATCTCAAATCAATTTGCAGGAATGCAACCGAAAGTAAACATATCACTTGTGCCCAGAGGTTCTCACTCAGTAAGGAGACAATATATGATAGACTTTCTGCTGAAAACAAGGATGAAAAATTGACTTACCAAGCAGCCAGCCATCTTTATGTAGCTCAGTTTCAAACTGGCTTGTGAGGGCAGCCTGCTCCAACACCGTGCAGTCCGGCAGGCTCCCTGGCCAGTGCGTTTCAGCACTAAGGAGGACTCCTCTGGAATCACACACCATGAGGCAGTTCAGGGAATGGAGACCCTTTCGGTTCACATAGGACAAGTCCTCAGCGTTTGGTGCTTTGATTGCCACGTGGGTGCAGTCAACCACCCCCAGCACTCCCGGCATTCCTGCCAGCCCATAAAAGTCCTCCTTCAGGGTCTGAACAGAAGCTTCATCTTTAGGAAAGTGAATGAACTGCGAGGCTCTTTCCACCAGTGCCTCGGTTACGTTGGCAACACAGCGGCTCATCGAGGCTTGGCTAATGCCAATAGCATCCCCCATGCGAGTCTGGAAGGAGCCAGAGGTATAGAAACCCAACGCAGCAAGTATCTGCGTCTCAGGACTGATGGCTCTGGACCGCTGTGTAGGGCGTGAGAGAGTGGCTCCCAGGAGATCTACTAGGTAGCAAATGAACTGCCGGGGAAAGCCGTACGTGGATACTAGATACTCATCAGTGACATCCTCCAGCTTGAAGCGATCCAAAGTCCTGTGTCCGCGGCCATAGAGCAAGAGGTCGCAGTCGAGAACCGCGATAGGTACGGCCATGGCTGACGGCCAGGGGAGTCCCTGCGGGCTTTCCCAGAGGCTTCTCCCGCATAAAACAAAAGAGGATACTCAGAACAGTTCTTACTGGTGAGCTTTTCAGACTCCGTTATCGTTTTCCTTTTAGTCTGATCATCCAGCAAACCTTTTTTACTTTTCTTTTTCTGCTTTTAAATACACTAGCAGCCAGGTGGGCTCACCGCGGAGCCGACAACTCTGCCTGGCTCTGACAGGAATTTACTTCCCGTGGCGGAGAGGGAGCTGGAGTCGTCCGCAGTCACCGCCGCCGGGCCCGGCAGACACGAACCGCGGGCAGCCCCGGCGAGCGCTGCCCTTGCCGGGCGCCCCGGACCCCACGGGCCGCCCGACCGGAGTCGTCCCACCCCTTCCCGGCCCCGCGGCCGCTCCCAGGCGGTCCCCGCCGGCCCGGCCCCACATTCGCCGCGATAGATTCGCCACAGGCAAGGGCTACCGGCGGCAGCGGCGTCGGGCGCTGCCCCGCTTTTCTCGGCCTCGGTGACCTCCTGCCCCGCCGGACTGCGGGCTCTGCGCGCCCGCGGGCGGGGAGCGGCGGCTGCGTGCGGAAAGTGCCGCTGCGGACACTCAGGCACCTCCTTTCTTTCCTCCCTT